ACAGATCCTTTCTTCACCTCAATACATAGTTGTTTGTTTTAAGGATGGTTGGTTGTTTTCAATTCACCTTTTGAACTAGTCAGTTACACAAGAGCAAGAGCTTCTGTTTCAAATTACCCTTAATGTACACAAATGATAATATAGAGGATATTTTTATTTAATTTTCTGCTGAAGATGGAATAAATCCTTTCAACAGACAAAAGATTTGGTAATCATGTCTGCAACTGCCAGCACATCCCAACTGTAAAGTAAATAGTGAAAACTGGATCGTCAGCCTCTCTGCAAAACAGCTCAGTACTGAGATGGTATTATGAAGTGAGGAAATACTATATTGTTCTGGGTATCTGCATTTAAGTAGTTATTATATGTCTTCTCATCTATTTAAACTGCATAATACATAGGTTTGACTTCAATGGAAACCTTGTGGACTTTGGTATTGGATAGTGTGCAACATTTTAACACGATTTAAAAAAAAATCTTAAATCTACTGCCACTAATAGTAACTGTCAAAGCTTAGCTGCTTATAATTTAAATATTAGCTCCTTATAAGTTAAAATATCTTGCACCAACAGTTCTTACAGAGATTCTCAATGGTCTTGACATAGTTGTTACTGATGTTGAGGGAATCCAGCTTTTCTAAGGATTCGAGATTTTCAATTCTGTTAATTAAATTGAGTTGCAAATAGAGGCAGCGCAACTCTGTCAGAGCCTCCAAATTCTCTATTTTTCTTAAGCCATTGCATTCCAGCCATAAACACCTCAATCCAGTATATTCTTCAAGGTTCTCCAGTCGGTCAAATCCTGCAGAGAAAGATATTTCAAAATGAATTGTATTGGCTAAAAATAAGTCTTTGGAAAAATACATTTATTTAATATATTTAAACCAGTGCTGCTGAAACAGCCTCTGAGCTGTTATATTCAAATTGATGGCAATATATCTGCTGATTCAATTGGTCCATAAAGGAAGAAAATGTACCTACAAGGTACCTATTTTGGTCTGTACCTTGCACAACCCTCTAGATTCTCAATAAATAATGAGAAAATAGTAAACACAAGGCCAAATGTAGAAGGTAGGTCTAGCATGCTGTATTTATTTAAAACATTTTTTATGCTATCATGAATAATCAGGATTTGGACTCGATGATCCTTATGGGTCCCTTCCAACTCAGGATATTCTATGATCTAGCAGTATAAAACAAAAAACCTGCTCAAAGATCAGAACTGGATGATCCATGTTCATTCTAGCAACTGCTCTTTCTTTCAGTAGTATTTGAGAACATGCAGTTTGTTTACTGTTTGTTTTCTTTCTGACCATTTTTATGTCTCAAAAGCTACTTAAAAACTTCTTTATGCAAGCATATTTAAAAAGAAAAAATGCATATATTTTCTTCTGAATGCAACCTAGACCAGCATGTTAATATATATTTTTTTCAGAGGCTTCTGTTTTGAAAAAATAGTCTTTCTTGACTCCTATTGATCCTTTGAATGAGTCCCCAAAATGAATTAAGTCTACGTGTATAATCAGTTCACTTATCCACCTTCATATTGAATTATTTTGTTTCTAAATTACATTGTTTTATCAAATTAAATTATGTTTGTAATTTAAAAGAATGTTTTATACCTTACCTCAGTTAGCCATAAACTAGATATTAGAATATGCTAGAAAACTATTTAAGAATGATAAATCTATACACTCTTGTCCGCACCTTACCTTTATAATGCAAGTAAAGTATATCATTTAAGGATGGGGTCAAGTACAATTTCTGCTGCTTACAAATGTCTCGCAGAATCTTTTTTGTCATTCTAAAATAAAAATAGGAAGCAGAAATGAACAAAATGTATTTCAGTGCACATTCTGAAATCTTTGTTTTTTAAACACATTCTAATGCAACATAGTTAATGGCTCTTTTATGCAAGAATAATAGCTACAGCTTTCAGGACTATACTCAGAGCAAAAAAGCTGTTGATTTTTTTTAGTGTCTTTCCATTTCTGCCTGTCAGAAGTATGTTACCAGGTTCTTTCTATTTCTACTATAAAAAAAGAAAGTAGGTAGGGAATCTTCCTGAAAAAAAGCAGTATGATTTTTGTTAGATTCTGGTTCCTTCCTCTCCTATTCTCTTTTCTCCACTCTTTGCTGTTATATGACCCCAGATTATTTTCCATTTCTCAATCTCATATTAATGAAATGAACTTTGCATTTGCGGCCATAAATATTTATCGGACTAAGTCTTACAACTGTAAGATTTTCTTGGCAAGAAAGTATTTTCAAAATGGACAAGAAAAAAAAAAGAGTAAAAGCAGTGAAGGTGTACCTTTTTTTTTTTTTTAATTTAATTTATTTTCTTTTAAATATTGTTGCTTACCACACTGAAATCCTTGATACTGCTGAGGAACCAAAACTCTAATACAGTCATCTAACTAGTCAATTGAGTTCTTGGGGCAATATAAAATATGATTGCCAGCCAGTTACTGCTCCATAAATCTTGGAGTTTACAAACTTTAAACCAAATCTCTAAATATGTACCATTTTCTTGCATTGTGAGCCCAGGAACATTATTGAATGCTATGTAGCTGCAATGTATTGCACTGACTTTCATTGTGCTATTTACAGTAGCACTTAATCAAATGATCAGCATCCTCAGGCAATTATAGGATCATAAAATATATTCCATAAGAATACTAATTATCTTATGTGCAATTGTTGCTCTCTGACATCATTCTTCATAAAAATTTAATTTTAAGCATGGTAACCTGATTAGCCAGTGATGATGAAGTTTTCTATGTCTGCACAGTCTGATCTACTTCCTGATAACTCAGAGAGAGTCTTTCCCTTGGCTTTAAAGGACTGTAACTGTCTCCTATAGAACAAGCATGTTAAACTGAACAGGCATATTCAGGTATCTGAATTCCCTCTGCTAAAAATTATCTTGACAACTATAATATTTACATTGAAATGAATTAATACAATGCACTGTCTGAATTCATATTGAGAAGTGGTTAAATCTGACAAAAGACCTCCAGAAGAGTTTGCACAATTTTTTTCGGATCCATTAAATAGATTACATCATGTATTTAAAAGGCAGTTTGCTACTGCAGCCATAAAAAAGCAGTACAGATACTAGCAATACCAACAATTCCTGATTTATCAATTAGTCTCAAGTTCATCTTCAAAGAAATCATTCTCCTGAGGTAAGATTAATATGTAAAATAGTGAAACTGTATTGACTTCAATGATGCCATGATTTAAAATTAAAAAAATTAATTAAAAATAAAATAAAATAAAAAAAAATTCACTAACCAATATATTACCTTACACAGCCCCCCTTTTCTTCTGTCCTTTGACTGAATGAACTGGTTACTGACTTGTGATCACCATCTGATTTTTGTTCATTCTGTTGATCTGCTCTGGACATACAGTTGAAGGCTTTCTCTTGAGTTTTAACATCTTTATTGTAAGTAAAAAAAAAAAAAAAAAGTTGCAGTTCAACAATATATGTTGGGGAAAAAGTGTCATGTTTCCAATTACTTCAGAGAAATACCAAAGAACACTTGAATGTGAATTTCAGGAAAAGATGTTTTCTAACCACAACATTTGATGACCTTTTTGATGGAGGGAGGCTTAACTTTCTATAGAGCAAAAGTAGTAAAACAACTAGTAGCAAAATAAACGTGTTAAAGTATTACATTTGTTTAAATCTGGACATGAGGTAGTACCCACTATTCTTAAGAAGGATTATTGCAATGTACAATGATAATAAAGTACTGGCACCAGTGCTCTTATGGTCTTAGACATCTACAGAATATTACATTTAATTTACAATAATTTGAGTTTAAGATGACTGCTAAATTTGCATATAAAGAGACCATGATAGTGGGCTTATCTGAGTCATGGCAAACACTGTTTTTTTTTGTCTAGCTCCCATAAAGTTACCTTTTTGCACTCTTTCGAGGGTGTCTCCAGTGCTATACTCATTCAAATTGTCTTTAGACTGTGTTTGAGTAATTGCATTTCCAATCGTCTTTTCAGATTCTTGCTCTTCACCGTCTAGTTGTGCTTGTAGTCCTGACAGTGAAAGAGACAGTGCAAACAAAATGATTGTACCTGGTCATTTACATATAGCTGTAATTAAAACTTCTAGAGGTCAGGCTAGATGTATGACTCCAATACAAAAGGTATACCTCCAGAAAAAGAAAATTAAAGAAACTGAAAAAAAAAAAAATCCCTAAATTTACCCTAGCAAGCCAAGTGGAAGAGCTGACCTGTGCTGACTGCATTTCCTTCATGTTCTGTGTGGGTCCTGTCGTGCCCTGTGCTGTTTGGGGACTCTCCCACCACGCCTTGGGCAACGACCTCCCCTCCGAGGCCTCCGTCCAAATCTCCATTTTGCGCTTGCATTTTATGAGATGTGATTTAGACAAAATCAACTCAAGTCGGTGTTTGACTTAAAATCCAACTGCCAGACAAGCTGTCTAACGGCTTTAGCAGGAGAACCTGTTGCGGATAAAAGACAGGACAAGATTATCCAGCCTGCCCTGTGGCAACCTCTCACTGTGGAGACCCTGAAAGGTGTGTGTGGGGGAACACACAACACATCCTGCCCCGTGCAGATCTCCCTCAGAGCACTGAAGCACACAGTGAAGACCCCAAAAGTGGAGCAAGTCGCTTTTTTCCCCTCAGGGCTGGCAGCGCAAGGGGGCAGGGATGCTGCTCCTCCACCACACTGCATTCTGCTGCTTTCCAGCAAGCTGTCACCTGGCGAGGACTGCGGGTGCTGTGACACTTCACCCCCAATGTCCCTGAGGTCAGAGAAGACCCCAAATTACCCCCCCCCCGCTTCCCTTTACCTGACCCCAAAGCCCAGCTTGGGGTTCCGGGCCGGGGATTCGAACCGGGGACCCTGGGGGGCCGCTGAGGAACGGGCGGCCGCGCGCTCCCCGCCCCAACCGCCGCTGTCGCCATGGCGACGCCGCGCAGGCCCACACGGCCCCGCGGCCTGAGCCCGGTAATGGCGGCGGCGCTTGAGGGGGAGGCCGGGCGAGAGGCGGCCCCTGAGGGAGGCGGCTCCTAAGGGAGGCGGCCCCGGCGGGCAGGCCGCGGTCTGGGGGTTGGTTTCCCTCCGGTGCAGCCCGTTAGGGTCGGGAGGGGAGCGTGGGGGTCCGGGGTGCTGCGGGGGGGGAGCGCGGTGCGTGTCGGGGTACAGCGGTGGTAGGATGAGGGTGCGTGTTTTAAAGTGTGTTTAACTGCTAAAAGCGCCGAGAGGTGCGTGAAAGGCCAGGAAAGGCTCCTGAGGCGTTTGGGAGGCTGGAGGAGGAGGGAAGGGCCCTCAGCCTGGCTGGCTGTGCTGGAGGGAGCTTGTTGGCGTGTGCTGAGCCCTCCCCTGCTGCTTATCCCTGCTTTCATAGGTGATTTTAGGCGTCCAAGGGCAGTTCTTGCACGTTGAGCTTCCCTTTTCTACTTGGGCTTGGATTGTGTTGTTCACAGGATCGTAGACCCAGGTCTTTACAGCCCAACGGATGAGTAAGCCTTGAGCATAGGCTAAACAGCAGCTGTTGATGTCCTCCACGGAAACTTTGTTATATCTGAACTTTTGGGTAGACCTGTGCAGTGTCAAGAGTTGGACTTGATGATCCTTAAGGGTCCCTTCCAACTCAGGATATTCTATGATTCTGTGATTCTAAGATTCTCATACCTACACGATTTGGTGTTATTTTGTTTTTAATTACCAAGGTTTTTGTTTGCTTTTCTGGAACATACTGCAGATAGATTCCTAAAGATGCACTGCTTCTATTGTTTCTAGTGTTGCATCACTTTTAGTGGGAATATGTTGACATTTTCCAGTTGCCACTCCCTGATGTAGCACATAACTGAAGCTGCCAAATCTCAAAGGTTTGAACAGTTTATGTGGCTGAAGAGATTATAATTGCCTGCTTTTTCTTGTTTTCCTTAGGCTTTTGGTCACCATGGCTGCAGTGGATTGTTTCTACCTCCTGTACAGAGAGATCAGTCGTTCTTGCAGCTCTTATGTAGAGGCCCTGGCTTTAATTGGAGCTTGGTACACAGTCAGGAAGTGCATGACTCTTGCCTTCAACACCTACAGCATCCTCAGGCTTCACGTTGTTCCAAAGCTGATTGGTGAGATTGATCTTGTCAAGCGGTATGGAAGATGGGCAGTGGTCACTGGTAAGAGACTGAAGCAGCGTATTTGCTTGTGCTTATATAATGTGTTGTACCAGTCCTGTAAAAACTTGCTGGCGTACATCACTGGGTGAGCCTTGTGGCACAAGCTGGGGCCTGTATTGACAGGTTGGTGAATACAAGTTAATTTGTTTGAGCAGTGATACTGTAGTCAGTCACGGACAGCAATACTTGTACGGTGTCTTAGTAATTCAGGTCCTCAGTTGACTGACTGCTGAAAAAGAATCCCAGAACAACTTTTCCCAGAAATTGTAAGCTCCACCCCAGGCATGTGTAGGGGAGCATAAGACTCCATAAGCAACCTCAGAGAGAGGTGCAGCCAACATATTTTTGCTATGGGATTTTCACGTGTGCTCAAGTTCTTCAGTAAGGTTTAAGTCATGCACCTCTGACATCCTCTCATAAAGGTTCTACTCTAAGCTCTCTGCTGTTGTCACAGAAATAAGAAACTTGTGTGAGGTGCCATTGCAGAAGGTTGCTACTGACATTGTTATCTTTAGTGTTACGGTTTTGAGATCAGCATATTCAGTGCCACGTCATATTCAGAGAAGGGAATAAAGCTGCAATTAAAACAACTGTCGAAATAGAAGACTGCACCTGTTCTGATTTTCACACTGCTGTTCTATTTTCTATTAATAACAGGTAGCACCGATGGTATCGGGAAGGCGTATGCTGAAGAACTGGCAAAGCGTGGTGTCAACATCATCTTAATCAGCCGAAGCAAGGAGAAGCTGCAGGCTGTATCTCGAAGCATATCTGAAACATACAAAGTGGAAACAGATTTCATAGTAGCTGACTTCAGTAAGGGGCGTGAGGCTTACCAAGCCATTAAGGAGGGCCTGAAAGACAGAGAAATTGGGATCTTGGTGAATAATGTAGGACTGTTTTACACCTACCCAGACTATTTCACTAACCTGTCTGAGGATATGCTGTGGGACATGATCAACATAAATATCGCTTCTGCTAACATGATGGTGCACATTGTGCTGCCAGGCATGGTAGAGAAGAAGAGAGGTGCAATCGTGAACGTCTCGTCTGCATCCTGCTGTCAGCCCACACCAATGTTAACAATCTACGGAGCCTCTAAAGTAAGTTAGGATGTGGTATTTGATGGTATGCACTGAAAAGTAAAAGCATTATAGGTGTTTTTTTTAACATGTTCAGCAAAGATATCAAAACACTTGAAAGTTTTCTAGGGATTTGTTCATGTTTCACGTATTATGCTGCGCTTTTTTTCCTCACCATTAATGGGCTTTGAGACAAGGTCTGCTATGTGGATTACGTGTGAACTGCAGCATAAGAGTACTCCTAGCAGAAGTGTCATCTTCCTCAGAGGAATGATGTTCAAACCAATAGTGGCAATTCTATGACCCATTGAAAGGCAGAGGAATTTCTTTTCTGTAGCTGAAAAGTGTGCAGGGACATCTCATGGTACTTGCAGGCTGGTTATTTGGTAGCAAGAGGTATTACAGTCGTGCACAAGCGGTCACTGCAACAAGAGCTGTGGCAAAAACAAAACAAAACAAACAAACAAAAACAAAACATGGTGCTTCAGCAAACACCAGGGGCTAGGTGGAGCAGAGGGCTTCTTACACCTCTGTCCTGTACCACACTTAGAAGCAAAAAGAACTTCCCCATAATTTTTCTTCCTCAGGAGATCCTGACATTGCTGAATTGGATGGGATAACTAGGTGATGCTGAAGTTACCCCTGAAGCGTGCAGGGATGCAGATTTGTGCTGGATAATTTGCTGCTTAATCCCACTGAGAAGCAACCGAGAAAGCAGAAAGATCTCTTCCAGACCCAGTTGTCTAAACCCAGTGTTGATTGCTTCTGGCTGTTGGTTGCTGCCCTCTGCTGGAGCCTGACCTCCACACAGCCTTGTTCCAGGATAGCTCTTGCAAGTCGTTCCTTCTGCCTGGAGCAAAACCAACTATATTACCCCAAAGTATAACTCCTTGTAGGTTGTCTTCAGTGTGGAAACTGGTTCAAGATCCCTGCTGCAGAGCATCTGTCTCTTGGTTATGCTAAGTGTATGTAGAACTGCACTCTGAGCTGTATCAGTGAAATGTCCTGAACGAAAAAGAACAGAATGAAACCAAAGGTCTACTAAAACTTCTTGCTTTAAGCAACGTAATTAATCCAGATCCTAGATGAGCAATACAGTTTAAAGCGTGGTCTCTGGTTTGGCACAGAAGTGGGAACAAGGTGTTCTGGCATCTTAAGCTTCCATGTGCACTAGCAGCATGGAGTGTTAGAGTGGTTGGTTTGCTTGGGTTTGGTTTGTTTGTTTTCCTAAAGCAGGTGTAAGAGCATCAGTAGAAGATGCTGTTCCAACAGTTGTTTGGGAGCCATGCTTTTGGAAGGCCATTGAGAATTAAAAAAAAAAAAAATCCCTTCACTCACAAGCAGAGTCTAAAATGTTCTCTCCGATTTAACTAGCCAGGCAGCACAGCCGCAGCTTTAGCATGGCATCAGGCGTGCTCCCGTGATAAGACTAAGTCATGCTCATTTTTCATTCTGATTCCTGTAACTTTGGTTTTCAGGCTTGTGCTTTCTTCTGCGATTTGGTAAAAGTAAAATAAGCTAAAGGAGATGATGCAGATGCGTATGAACAAATGCATGCTTAATTTTGCACAAGGGAGTCCCAGCAAGTAATTAACTTGTGGAAGATCGGTTGAGTGTGTTGTTCACCTGTAAATGTTTTAAAGAATAGGACTTTTTTTTTGTCCTTTTGACAGTAGTTAGCTTAGGAGTGTCTTCTTCAGTGCCCTCAGACTGAACAATATAAAAGTTATATAAAACTTCTGTACTTTCTTATTGGTTTTAGGCAAAGTTAATGTTCCAAGTATGCTACAACTTTTCTGTGGTTTTACTAAAACTTTGCAGTGAAACTTGATTGTAAAAACAAACAACATTGAGTGTCTTCTGCTTTTGTCTTCCTAGACCTACTTGGACTATTTCAGTAGAGCGCTATATTACGAATATGCCTCAAAAGGAATTTTTGTTCAGAGTTTAACCCCGTTTGTCATCGCTACAAAAATGGTATCGTGCAGTAGCGTTACATCAAAGAGATCTTTCTTTTTTCCTTCTGCTGAAGAATATGCAAGTCAAGCTATTTCTACCCTTGGGTTATCCAAAAGGACTCCTGGTTACTGGAAGCATTCAATAAAGGTAAGAAAATTCATCCAACTATTTAGTGCTTGTCAGTAGAAAAAAAGCAAGCTGTTTACTTCCTCAAGAGTCCAAACAAAAAACATCTCAGTATTCTGAAAGAGTACAGCATATACCATAAGATTTAAAGGCATTGTGCCATCTTATCTCACTAATTCTGCTTTAAAAAAAATGCTCAGCCATGCTTGTTTTTAGAATGAGACAGTGAATCCAATTCCTAGTTGAAATATGCAACAGAAATGGGAAAGAGACAACATTTTATTCAAAAGAAGGCCACCTTATTGTACTTACTGCTTGCATGTCATGTGTCAGAACTATTAGCTCTATAGCATCAAGTAGAGAAGAAGGAGCTGAAGAAATGTGGATTACGCCAAAGCAAAGACCAGAAAGGGGAGGGATTCTGGCGAGATGTGGAAATTAAAGGAAGTAGACAGCATTGCTATTGAACAAACCAACCACTTTGATATTTATTTGAAGAACTTAACTATTGTGCTGTATTCACTCCTTCCAAAAGGGCTGAATAAACTTTGGTGGGGGAGGGGAGTGTGGGGTGGAATTTAAGGTTTAGTTGCTCATGTTTGAACAGGTACTGTTGTGCTTCGAGAAATACATCATTAAGAATTTGAGAAACTGTTTAATAGAATATATCTTAACCAGCTCCTTCCTCTTTTTTTTCTTCTTGTCTCTCTGTTTCTCTTCACAGTTCGCAGTGGGTGAGCGTATACCAGAATGGATCTGGGCTTGGTTTGCACAGTACTTCTTAAGAATAATACGCAAGGAAGCTTTAACGTGCAAACTGAAATAGGACTATCTAGATGTCCAGCATAGATGAGTACTATATTCTGATCAGAGTGCTGCAAAAATCTTACTTGAACCATGTATTTACTGTAATATATCAATACCTTGTTAAACAAGTAGCGTGTAACCTAGACATCAGAAGTCTGGATCCTCCCTGCACCTTGGTGTTAAATAGCTCCTCCTCTGCATTCCTCCAGGACAAAGGGCTGGTCTTGTGGTGGTTAAGCTCAGATCACTTTGTCTTTAAGGTAATTGTATAGGAGTGGGTATAACTGTCATTCTGCCAGTAAATAACTGCCTTTTGTATAGTGCTACATAACATCAACTGTTAATGGTGAAAGGATTTGAGAATTCTCCAGCTGTGGCAGAAATGGGCCCAAACAAATGATGCCATCTAAAAAGATGATCTTTTTAGTTCATCAGAAGATGAGCAGTCACTGAATTAAGTCTCATTAATACACAGTTTTGTGGAACTTTTTTTTAATTGGCAGATATTTGTGTGTTTTAAGTGCAAATGTTGTTGGTTTTGAATGATGTTATTTGAGGTACTTCTCAAAATTGAAATGTATGGAAAGGTCACAGTGAGTTGTTTAAATGACTAAGAAGGTCATACAGAGCTGTAAATGAATTGGAAAATAAGCTTGGTTTTCTTTCCTATTTTAAGCATGAATGATCTGGGTTCCATCAAGTGTTCCTTCAGCAAGCTGAAGTGTGGCTGGAGAATAAAGAATGTAAAACCATATTAGCTAAAGCAAAATAATGAGGAAATAAATGCTTTGATTTAAAAACAGTGGTTGGTTTCCTATGATAATAAAAAACACTTGTTTTGATGCTGTATGACTTCTTATTTATATATTTAAAAAAAGTGTGTGTGTATATATATTTGTTACAAGTTATCTGGTATTACACTGCTTGTATTTCTTGCAGACTCTAAATCTGAGAGCTGTCCTATCTAAAAGAAGGGTGTGATTTAATACAGAATAATCTAATACTTTTTCCTATCCAGTGAGATATTCTCAGCTGAGGTGACTCAGTTTCTAAATAACTAATTTGAAGTTGTGCCATATGAAGTCTTGACTAAAACTCTTAAAAATCTTGATCCTAAATACAGTGAAACCAGCCCCCCCCCCTTTCATGAGGGTGAAAATGCCTAGTATAGCTGCTGGGTTGCAAAGGAAGAAAAATGATTGTTGGTTTACTGTACAACTGCAATTTTTTGTGTCAAGGGAGCTCTCTCCCTTGACATTTGTTTCTGTTGTGCTCCTGCAACCCAGAGTACTCCTTTCTGCGGGGAAGGAGGGAGAGGAGCAGGCAAGGAGGGATCAGGGCAGGAACTCGTTAGTGTGTTTGGTCTGCGTGATCTCTGGTTAGCAGACCACACTCAGCTGGCCCTGACAGCTGTTTGTTTCAAAATTATGCATTAGGTGTGTGTAAGAATGACTTACATGCGTTCAGAAAGGGGATTTAAAAGAGGCTGGGTGAAAAATGCATTTATTTTTAGCAAAGGCTTAAATACTGCTATGAAACTGGATAACACTTCTATTGCTGTACTTTGTGTTTGGCTTTGTCACTCCCTATTAACAGTATTGTATCTTCAGATTTCCTCACAGGAGTTAAAGTCCATTCAGTTATATCTAAATAATCTACTTTTCAAAGAACTGTTCTCCAGAGTAATGCAGAGCCGCAACTCCTTTCATTTTTAAATATGCAGGAGAACACAGCCTGTGTATTTAGAATTACTCTTCCCAAAAGCAATCATGTTATACAGCTAAGAGCAGTTAGTCAGCTACAGGGGTATTAAATGTGCACACTGTTAAATAATCGCCCAGCAGCTATTTGTAATTCAACCGTCTGAAGCTCTGACCCACTGAAAAACGGATCAGAAGAACAAAAAATTCTTCAGCTAGTCGAACATATTTCCCTCTTAAACTGTGCTCTTGGTATTCTAGGAGCAGGTGGGCGGTGGGACCCTTCTTTCCCTTTACCCCCAGCGATTTTTAACCAAAACTGATGGAAATCTCCCCAGCCCTGAGGGCGGAGCGGCATCGCCTCAGCGGCCCCGCGCCGCGCATGCGCCGGGCTCTCGCGAGATCTGGGGGGTAAACAGGGCACAAAATGGCGGCGGCGGGGCCCGGGGCGGCGGCGGAGGCACGGTGAGGGCGGCGGGCAGGCGGCGGCTGCTCCCTGCGGAGCTCTCGCGTCCTCTGCGCCTCTTCCGTGCGTGTGGGGAGCGCCGCGCCCTCAGAGCGAGCGGTAACCGGGCTGAGGGTAGCTGCTGCTTGCGCTCCCGGTGTCTGCACCCTTCGGTGTTTGCACCCCCGCTTCGCTGCGGAGCTCGCAGCCGCGCTCCGGGGGCTGCTGCCCGGGGCTCTCCCGGGGTCTTCCGCACCTCAGGCCGGCCGCTGCCCCCCTGCAGGGGCCGGGGGCTCCCTGCGAGGCCTCGGGCAGGCGGTAACGGGCGGTGAATAGCGGAGAGAGCCGCGGGCAGAGCGCCCCCGGGCCCGGCCGGCACCTCCGGGCTCCGCTGGGGGGTCCCAAAATTTTAGGGGGGAGGGCGGCTCCGGGGGCTGCTTTTGGGGGCGCGGACATGCCCCCATCTCCATGTGTGTTACGAGGGAGTCACACGCTCCGGGTTGTCAGCGCGCTGCTCCTTCGCTCGGCTCTCCCTCAGATGCCATAGTTGTGTTTATTTTATTTTATTAATTCCTGCAGTTGGTTTTTGTTTTTATTGGCGCCTGGGTTGTTAGCCCGTGAGGCGATAAGGTGTGCAGAGATCAGCTGGTAGAGTCCCACGACCACCTTCAGCTTCAGCTTCGGGATGAAGAGAAAAGTTTGTAAGCGCAGCTTGGTGTTATCCCTCAGGTGGAAAGAGAGGGAAATGCTGCTGCTGTGACAAAGAAACACTTCAGGGTTTTAAAAAAGAGGGAAGCGGCAGCTGTCACATGGAGACTTGATGCATTTTGTGCAAGGATTTGCTCTGGGATTGGTCCCACATTCTCCTAAACGGTGTGAGGTCCTTAATAAGGCTCCTGCTTTTCAGTCCTGGTCGCCGTGGGGCTGTGTTGTTCTCTGTGGCTTTTCCATGTGGTCTGGCAGACCAGACAAAAATGTTTCTCTTCCTTCATATTTTAATGGCTTTTTAATTACCAGTTGATGGTTAAACATTAGGATTATTTTTTTCTTTTTCTTGATTATTTATTCTGCTTTGGAGTGCAAACGGAGGCAGCTTCCCTTCCATGTGGAAAACACTTTAAATGTTTAACTTCACATTACTACGTTTCTAAGCTCTGCCCTGATGTTCTCAGGTTGTGGTAATGCACCTCAAGAAAACTTGAACGGCTTCTTTCATGCTGGTAATCTCTTTTCAAGTATAGGGACTGCAGATTTGCTTCCTATAACAGTATTTCTTGTCCTCACCAGCTTCTGAAATAGTATTTAAACCTGATTCTCCTTGTGTCAAATTATGTACCGTAGCAGTACTTCCATCAACAACGTTCCTGATGCGAAGGGAAAAAAAAGCCACGCTTTTTTTGAGTGTCTATGGATGCTTTTTATCATGCTAGTACTTTATTTTGCTTCTTATTTTTTTCGTTTTAATAGGCCTTACGTGTCATTTTGTTCTTCTTATTCCACCTACGCAAAGGGTGGTAGAGTTTGGTTGTCGCTGCTGTCTGTTCTGTTGCCAGGTTAATACCTGTGTATTTCACAGATGCTCTGGTGTGAGCCAGGAAGAAACTCGAGCATGCTTGAAAAATTGCTAACTGAAACGCACACACGACTTTTTTCCTTGCTATTTCTAATGCTAGCTGACAAACGATCTTTTGTGATTTCCATGCTATATGTTTACACAAACTTGAAGCTAACTGTTTTCTATCTTGCCTTGCAGGTTGGCTTGTAAACAACTTTGCCAGTTCTTCTAGGGAGTTAACTTTGCCATCAGCAATGGAGTACAGGACTCAGCTACCATATCCCGAGTGACCACATCTTTCAGGACAAAATGGAGAAGAAGCGTAGAAAGAAATGAGCCTGTTTATTAGGCTTTACCTCAAAAGACCATGAAATCGATACTTTGGACACAGCTTTAAGAATATCCAGTTGAGCAGCACAGTGAAAGCAGTGTTTACTGAAACAAAAATGAACTAGTTTATAAAGAAGAAAAGTGTGATTTGATTATATGGAATTTTTGGAATGAGACCATTTTCTTCTATGACCATGAAGTTTGCAAACATCTGGTTTGTTCTGGTTGTTATTTTACTCTGTGGCAAACAACACTTCAGTACCAGGCTAGGGAATTCTTCCCATGAGGCTCACATATGTCCTGGATGTTCTCGCCTTACTCTAGAAGTGGAATTCACTTCAACAGTCGTGGAACATGGTAATAGAGTTAAGCATTAAAAAAAAATCCATGTGAAGTTCAGGGGCATGTTACTGGGCTGTGGTGTTTGTGCAGTTGTAGTATTCAGAGACTGTATGAGTAGATCTGCTAACTTACCTGCATTTAAATTGAGAATTTTTTTTCAAAGGTTCTTGGTTTAACCTGGCACAAAATTTGAACATGAAGAGGAAGAGGGGGGACGTAAAGAGTAGGTTAAAAGTGAAAACAGTGTGAAGGCTCTGATGGGCAGGTCTGGTCTAGTCACTTTGGTGTGCTTAGTAGTTGTTCACTGACCTGCTTGGTGGTATGGTTAAGGCTGTCATGTGCATAAGAGGGCCACAAAGGAATGAGAAAGACGAGAAATGTGTGGGTTTGTCAAGGAAAAGTTTGAAAGTGATAGTACGTTTGTGAAGAAATCAGAAAGATAAGTGCAAAGGGAGCTGATGAAAGGCAAACTAAGGCTGATACCGCTCCTGAAATGGCAAAGGGGAGCAGCAGAGCAAAGGTGGGTGCTGAATTGGGGAAGGTCTGTGAGGCTGGACAAAGCCAGCCAGTGAAGAGGCAGGGGGAACAAACAGTAACAGGGTGTAGAATGCGGTCTGTTGGCATGGGCAGCTCTGTGCCTGCAGAACTGCAGGATGAATTTAATGAATGTGTGGTCTATGAATGGCAACAGGTTGTGGAGGAAGGATGAGCAATGAGCTCATATCGTTTGCAGTGCTTGCAGGGTGCACAGCTGCCATTTAGGACAACATCTCTGCTGTATCTGAAACTGTGGGGTCATGTAATGTGCTGACTCACCTGATTCAGTATCAGAAGTCAGTAGCTGAGTTGTCCTTAATTCATCCCTCGACCCTGTGTCTGGTTATTCCCTTGGGTGCCCATAATGTGCCCCTAGCGAAGCTATGTACCTACACATGCACAAGAGACCAGCAATGACATCTTGTGTGTTTGTTAGCCAGGGGCTTACTGAGGCAAATGTGGCCGTGTGTGCTGGGGCTGCGGTGCACCCACGAGTCCCTAATCCAGGTCAAGGACTGGGCTCTTGGGGACAGCTTTGTTTTTTGTGTGAGTCATAGGTGGTGCCAGTAATTTCCTCTAAAACTCAATACTGTGTGGAGGCTGGATGATTTTAATTCATGCATGTGAGGAAGCATATTGAATTGGCATATCAAACTGACGTATATATGAGTAGATATGCCGATATAAATGTCATCCTGTACTGCTGGATGTGACAGCAAACTTGTTCCTTCTCCCCTGCTTACCCCACTTGTTTCACCTTTCCATGCTATTTACAATTCTGCCTTCCTTTCAAAGGTCTTTATAATATTTTACAGATCTCATCATGCAAAAATTTTATGTAGTGCACAAATAAATTGCAGACCTGTAAAAGCGAAAAAAAAAAAAAAGTGCCTCAAGTTGTGATTATTAATTCTGGATAAAGAAATGTTGAGATCTTTAA